AAGGAAATTTATACCCCCATCTGATTTATGTCTTTCCCTCAGAGAAGCATTTATCACCATTAGTGTTCAATAACCTGAGTTAATGCTCGTTAGGAAGCGGCGTGCCAGCAGGCATCTAAGGCCTGTCGCCAGAATTTCTTATTTCAGGAATAGACACTGACTAAATGTGCAGTGGATGGTTGTAGAAGAGGGATGGAGGGATGACTAAATAAGACTAAAAAACTGTTTCTAATAATAATGCAACAACCTCAGTCGGTTCACATTGCAGGTTTTGGATTTGGATCTCTACCAACCAATAATGACAGTTTGAAACCAGAGGGATTAAAAATCCCTACATCGCATGTGTGAAAAAAAATATCCCTACTAATTTAGTTTTATATATTAAATTATTATATTTTGTGTTAGTAAACAGATTTTTGACTCATTTCAATTTCCTCTGCTATAATTTAGTGAATTCCAAGCAGAGCAAAAAAATTCAAACTCAAAAGAGTTTGAATGAAAATTTCCAAATCATGACAATACTTCTGGCGTTGCAAGAAATCATGGCAATACAATGATTCGCAATCGCAATGATTTCAGATTGATTTTTTTTTTTGTCTGAATGATTTATATAAACACCTTTCATTTTGTGCTGTAATCTTATTGAACCTTTTTGCATGTCAGTACAGGGAAAGAGCATGCAGGTTTAGAGCATGTGCAAAAGCACTGTTGCATAAAAACAACAACTAACAAACACGACCAAGTCGAAATTCATTTAATATAAAAGTTCTTCCATTCACAGTGATAATGAACCAATGATCAGGAAAGGACGGAGGTCTGGCACTAAAATTTGGGAATTTTTTTTTCAGCTCAATATTTTTTTCTTTCTGATGATTTTTGATGTTAAGCGCTATTTAAGGAAAGTTAAGAAGATGGGCAACATGGTACGCTAAACTGACATGTTTTAAGCTGTTGTTTATAAAGCTAAAACAAGATTTATTTTACTAAAGGTTTAAACACTAATATAATGTTTTTATCATATGCCCATTACATTCTGTTACCAAAATATGATCAAACTTCATTTAATAGGCGTACCCTCACGTCTGCTAACTACTAGCTCAATCAAAGTAGGTTAAGCATCATTTAACAAAAGATTATTATTTCTAAATTAAGCAAATCATTTAATAAAATATTATTTTTCCAAATAGCGTTTTATTTAACTCTTGGACTTGCATTGTGTTTTAGTTTGAACACACTCCAATTGCTCTAAATTAGTTAAAAGCAAATTTGACCACAATCCAAATTCTTCAAGATATATTTTTATAATTTTAATATTCTCAAACATAAAATCATTGCTGAACTTTGAAACAGTGTTTCATTATATTCATTATGGTTTTCAACCATGCTTTTTTCTTCTTCCTTGTATTCATAGTAGCTTAGTTTAGTTGAGTTTCACAAGTTTAGTCAACAGTTTTTAACTAAAATATGTCTGACCCTGGGGCTGAATGATTTTTGTTAATTAACTCTTATATTTTGAAAGAAGCTGTGGTGATTATATTCCATATATGTGCGGTTATCTGTTTGACTATGAATGGAGCTTGATTCACATTTTCAATGGTTCTGTTTATTTGATTAAATAACATATTTGGACAATAAATATATAATAATTGCACAGCACCCATGATTTAGAAAACTGTTACAAGCAGGCAATATTAGTAACAGACTTAACAAAAGTTATGGAGAAAAACTAGCACCTCCATTTCACACTAAGGTTGAAAAAAGAAATTATTAAATTACCTGGAGCTACTCTACTTGATCCCTGTAGTACACACATGTTTAATAGCACAATTAGCAGAGGCATCCCAGTGGGAGGAAGACTTGCAGCATAAACAAGACTTATTGGAGTAATCGAGTTTCATTGCTGTCTTTTGAAACACCCAAAGGATGACATGATGGAACTAACTACAGAAAAATGGGTATTAAACATTATCGCACATGGTCAGTGATCTAATCAATACAACAAAATAAAATATGGATAGTTCATAAAGTGACCTCTAAATAATTTGCACAAAAGAAAATTTATAATACGACAGCTTAATCAATAAATGGTGTGTTTTGGTGGTATGGTGCTGAACCTGAATTAATCATTACAGTTCTGGTGCTTAAAATGAGCAATACTAATTAGCTGGGGTTAAAGACAATAAGCTTTAGGACAGGTTATGACAGGCTTTTTATCTGAGTACACATTCAAAGTTGCCTTACAGTAGAAAGCTAGAATTTTTGGATAGATAAGATAGTAGAAAGCAAAGCCTGGAGCAGATGTGTTGTACCAATAAAGAAAAATGCAGAAGACTCTGTAGCTACATTGCTTCAGCATAAAAAGGGTAGGAGACAGTGTGTCAGACTGCTGACAGTAACTCATCCTCCCCTGTGTAGCTGCCAAACAAATTCTTCTTCCCAGCAGTCTCTGCTCTTGGTTTTGTTTTGCTTTTTGCTCACATCTGAACTCAAAAAAGATCTTTCCTGCTTCAGGGATCACTCGAAGAGTAACAGAACATCACATTTCTCTACAGTCTAGTATCTAACAGCCTCAACTTCCATTAGAGCCCTTTGGTACTCTGAAAAAAAAGAATTTTTTTGTACCATGTCAAATACAGCAGCTGAAAATTGCCTCTCTTCGAAAGTGCAAAATACACTTACTTCACAAATGGAAATGGAATATATACAAGCTTGAAACACCTACCACCTTTTTGAAAGCCGACACAGTGTACAGAAATATGGTAACATCCGAAATAGAAGCATTGAAAGGTAGCAATTTAACAGCCCTAACTGATAATCAGGATATGTACAAGTTTTAAACTTTGACATGCTTTATTATTCATAAATGGTCAAATTTTCTGTTCCCTCTGTGTTCAAACGTGAAAAAAGCAGTTTTTCATTTGAAATAATTTTTTTTTTCTTTATGCAATTTCCTGCAGAGAGGTTATAATTACTAAATTTCATCATTAATCAGATTGGTAGTTTTTCTAATTAAACTTAGAGGGCAGTCATTATGCTCCAAAAAGGGTCCAGTGGCTTCTAGACGTATTTAAACACCTTAACCGTTTCACAAAAAAACAAAAACTAACACATCACACCAACATAAAGTAGAGCATTATTGCACAATGAGGAAAATTGTACATTTGTTCTTAGACTACCAAATCACTACTTTGTAGAACCACTTGTTGAGGCAGTTACAACCTATTGGAAAATGACTTTGCCAGCCTTGCACATTTTAGAGATGACCTTTAGGGCTTTCCTGTTTCACTGCAAAGTTCTGCTTCAAGTCTTTTTTATTATCTAACCAATTTCCTTTGAAGATTGATCTGTATTTAGCTCCTCCATCTTCTTATCATCTGCGTAATAGAAGCATCCCAACAGCACGTTTATGCCACTACTGAGCTTGATGGCAGAACATCTTCTTTCTAATGTTTGTTGTGTTCTCTCTGTTGTTTCTGGCAAACTGCTGATTTTTTTTTTTAAAGCTTTCTTTTACCAATAGCTTCCTTCTACACACTATTTGATAACAGAATGAACAATGGAGTGCACAACATATTTTACTCACCCAAGATTTCAATCCACAATGGGTCTTCAACAGTAACATTAGACCTACTTGCCGCCTGGCTGAATTAACTTTTCCTTTAGTGAACTATTTTTTTCAGTGGCTGCCCATGATTTAGGTGGTTTTCAGTTGTACTACACTCTGTAGCTTTCGGATAATGGATTCAAAATCCTCTTTCTTGCAATACTAAAAGTCAATATTTATAGAATTACAGCATTTAAAAAATATATGATACAATAAATTGCGAGAATTTAAGCTTGCTTCAAGTAAATACTGTGAAATGAGAGGTGAATAAAAAAAAAAATCTACTTTAAACTGTAATATTGGGTCAAAACTGACTAATATTTGTACGTTTTCCGGATTCAATCTAAAAAACCAAAACAAAGCAAAACAAAAAAACCCCACTTTTGTCTGTACTAAGGGAAAGTGTAAACAGTTTCATCACCACATTTCACTATAGGTAAACCATTAAACCATTCTTTCAGTGATGTGCACCTTAGAATTATGTCCACCATTTCAGCTTAGTTTGTTCGGACCCTAATGTATTCCCTCTGAAGGTTTCAGGAGACATTAGTCGTGGATGTTATTTGTATAAGAAAATACTTTTTTGTTATTCTTTAATGTTGCTCTGAGCCCCATAGCAACCTGCCTGACCAGTTTTCATTCAAGTTCTTTCAAAGTTTTTTGAACACAGAAATCTATTCGGAGGACTTAATTTAGCAATGGCCATCTTCAATCTACCATGGAAAAAAAACCACAACCATGTTTTTAATTTTTTAATACTTGTCTCATCTAATGAATTTGTATAAGATTGTTTTTCTCATTTGTAACTTCTCTGTAAACTGCCTATAGCTAAAGAATGCAAAAGTGAAAAAAAATGTAAACCAAACAGGCAGTTAAAAAGGTTAATCGGATGAAAGGCTAATCACGTTTTGGGTGTACTATTCCTTTAAATACTGTAAATGAATGGGGGTTTGATCTTAACAAGGTTGAATGTAAGAATGTGCATCTGCAAAGTATTGGTTTTTATTTACTTACAATTACCCCAGAACATGTTTTTTTGTCATTTGAGTTGTGCATAATACGTAGAAAATATTATCAAACGACTTATTGTGGTCTTATTACATATAAATAATTTAACATATTTTTTCAATTATATATTTTAGCATTTTGGCAGAAAACAATCTTTTGCTTTTCTTTTGAGAGCTGTTTTTTTTTAGCAACAACTTTTAGCATTAAAAATGAAAAAAACAGGATTCTTTTGACAATGTTGGCTATGAAGTTTGATGCATAATTTGATTAATAAAAAAAAAAAAAACAGAAGCTCCTCAAGTAGCAAATAAGAAAAAAGAGCTGAAGTTAGCCAAAATGAATTTAGAGTTAAATATGGGCTTTGAAAAGGTAAAAACCAATATCAAACCTGTATGTTGTCAAAGGACGATTTGTTGGTGACATCGTACAACAAGAGAAGAGCTGAAAGAAACAAAACAACGGTTAAATTGAAAACACAGTAAAAAAATATGTTAGGTCTTGTTAATCCCACCTCATTTGTACAGACCTCAGGGGAAAGGAAAATGAGCTAGATTGTAAACTAGATAATATGAATGTGAGCTGCTGCTTGATGTCAATCAGCAGTTCACAACCGAATCAGGCAAAATAAAATGCTGTTTATTGAATGACTATGGGAAATCGGGTGCATCTGTGCTGCAAACTACAGTCTTTACTAACTGGGAATTTACGGGGATGACCTCGGCTTTTATCCGTAGGAAAAATTTTACACTTGGGGCTCCTATGTTTTTAAACTTTGGAAACAAGGTTAAGTTTAACAAAATTATGAAATGCAAAGGCTAAGAGCAAATCAAGGCGAGAAAGTTGAAAGAAGCTTAAACTAATCCTCATTCAGTATAAATTAAAATGTTTATTGCAGCAAGGAACAGATACAAAGAGAAAAGTTGGACAATAAACTGAGTGTCTCCTAAAAAGGAGTGTCAAAAATTCTGGGGGATAAATTAAACAGCAAATTTATCACTAAAGCTAGAATAGATCCCTTTTTTAAATTACCTCTGGCATCTTAAAATAACAGATTACAGACAAAATTGTGGAATTCCTTATAAGCATCAGGGATCATAAAAGAGTAAGGCAAATATGATTCACTGAGGTTTTTTTGTTAGCTTTTATTGATATTTGTTCATGAAAAACAGATGGTTTTATTTTTATACTTTTTAAATCACAGAGAATTTGTTAATTAACCTCTTGTATTTGCGTTCTAACCCCACTACCTCACTGCTAACTCTGTTTACTATTCTGGTGTTAAGGAGCAAAGTAAAAAAGAAAAGTTTTGGAGCAATCATTATTTTCTAAATGTCATCATTAGAGATAAAAAGATATGAGATAAACAGCAAAAAGGAGAGGAAGGACCTTTATGCAATTTAGTACAAGAGGAAACTGTTGAAACAAAGTTCATCATGCAGTTCAGTGCAGATGTCCCTCAGCAGACAGCCATCAATCCATTAATCCGGATGACTGAGCAACACAGAAGTCAAATTGAAAACATTAACCCTCTTTGCTTAGGTTTACTTCTGCAGGAAAGGTTGGGTTCTTACAAAGCTAAAATGTTTGCAGCAATAGACTTTCTAGTGATTTGAGTATTTTGTCATGTGTTTCTTACGTTGTCAGAGCATGGATGGATAATAACAGACCCTATTTATTAGGAAGTTCAAGAAAATATTTGGGTTCAATTTCATAAGTTTATAATAATAATAATAAGAATAGAACTTTATTTATCTCACATTGGGCAAATTTACCTTTGCATTTAACCCATTCCCTTGGGGAGCAGTGGGCTGCCATTGTGCAGCACCCAGGGAACAGTATGGGGTTGAGGGTCTTTGCTTAGAGACCCAGAGTAGCAGGCTGTGAGTGGGGCTTGAACTCAGAACCTTGGGATTTCACGCTCTACGCCCTAACCTAGGCTGCCAGTCCCTCCAATAAGAATTTAATAATTATAATATTAATTATTAATAAAATTAATATTTAACTTTAGATTGTGTTGGTCAAACCAAAGCTATCCTTAAGACACTTGTCTCCATGACAAGCACCTGGACAATAGCCTCATTATCCTATATGTAGGATAACGCTAACACCAATGACAAATTAGCCCTGTTTAGAGTGTTACCATAAAAAAGGAGGCAAGAACTGGGGAGTGTCTAAATTGTTTTCACTGTCATCACCTCCATCCAGCTGATTACCCTCCTTAATGAATTTACTTTTTCCATTTTGTCTAATTTTATGGTCAGTGCACTGGTTCAGTTTAACCCTTCATCAATTACTCTATTTATCCTCTATTTTTTCTCCAAACTGCTGCCATTTTATCCCTTCCTACAATCATGTGATACTCATCTATTCCCCTAACTATAGACTCATCAATTTGTTGTACTGGGGTATGCTGATGAAGATTCTCAGTAATCCAGGTCATAGTCATTCCGTAAAAGTTCAAAAAATATCCACTGGACTTGGTTTCCAAGGTGGAGTGTAATTTCTTTGAAATTTGAATATCTATGGTTAGAAAATGCTTACTTTAGCCCACTAAAAGTTAAAAGCATTTTTTTTTGGCGTACATCTGTTAAGGTCTTTTTAGTATCCTAAATTCTGATATAAACCAAGGCATGGTGGTTTTTAATGTTTCCATACACACCTGCATGTCTTCAAAAGTTATTATATTGACAAGGTTTGGTGTGTCAGACAGGGTATTCCCAAGACCTCAACTTTAGTTTTGCTTGATTCTTTTGGAGTTTTTGAGAATTTTGATCCTATTACTCTTAAAGAACTGATTCTCTTAAGTCTCTAAATCCCCCCAACTGACAATCAGAAACTGTCTCTATTAATGTAGTGGAAGCAGCAGTCGACGCCATTGGAGCCTGCCTCCTCTCCTTCATAAACTGTTGTTTCAGGATGGACACTGTCCCTGCTGCCTTTAAACATGCTGTGGTTGAGCCACTGCGTAAAAAAGGCAATCTTGATTCATGCATTTGTTCTAATTTTCATTACGTTTCACATCTGCCTTTTTTGCTAAGGTTGTGAAAAATATTACCTCTCGCTGCATGAAATTGCTGAAAAGTTTCAGTCAGATTTCAGGTCTCGTCAAAGCTCAGAGTCTACTTTGCTGTATGTATATAATGATACCCTTACAGCATTATGTGCAAATAATTTAGTTGTGCTTGTGATGCTAGACTTTGGCCTTTGATATTGTAAACCATGCAGTCATTCTTTGTTGTCGGGAACAGTGTGTCGGGCTGCATAGTCCAGTGGTTTGTCTCATATCAAAGCAATAAATTGTTATCTTTTATGATTGATTTCTTCACATCTGAAATAGCTCCATTGTCCTTTGTTGTGCCACAAAGCTAACGTCTTTGACCAGTTCTGTGTTCCCTCCAATTGTTGCCACTTGGACATCTCCAAACACAAGGTTTCTTTTCATTTTCATGCCGAAGATGTACAATTCTACATGCCAATGTAGAATTGTATTTTGCAAAACCTTTTCTGACATCAGAGAGTGGTTGTCTCAAGATTATCTCCACCTAAATTAAAAGGAGGCTAAATACATTCTCTTAATTTCAAAGCAATCTTGTCAGGCCTCAAGCTTTGTTCCCAACCTTTTGCATTAGCTATGAGAAACTTAGGTGTAATTTTTGACATCATTCTTAAGTTTGATAAAGAGGTAAACTCAGTGTTCAAAGCATTCCTTTTTCTGCTAAGACTCTTATCAAAAGTCAAACCATTTATATCCCAGTCTGGTCTGGAAAAGCCAATGCATGCATGCATTTGCTCAAGGCTGAATTACTATAAAGCTTTTAGTGCAGAAGTTGGCCAGTCCTGTCTTCATAAGCCTCAACTGGTCGCAGCTGCTTGGTTTCCCTAAAATGCTCCTAAACATGTCCATTCCTCTCCTCTCTCTAGTTTTCAGTTCACTTATAGACTTTAAAGTCCTGCTGTTGGTTTTGAAAGTCATAAATCACCTTACACCTGCATATTAGTCTCCATTTTAACTATTCATTTTAATAGCATTGTAGCCATTTATCCTAAATTTTTGTCATTTGTTATTTCTACCAATTTAGTTTTTGTCTTTTGATATGTAAAATATATTTAAGTTGATTTAGAACCAGGTAGTTGTGCTATCATGCATGTTTGAGATCTGTTTTTATAGTAAGTTTTCTAGAGCACATTGTGCACAACCAATTGTACAAAAGTGGTATATAAATAAACTTTGATTGATTTATTTAATACTAATTGAAAGGTACTTCGAAGCTCTAAAGCGGAGATGTGCAAAACAGTATTTCACACTTAATAAGTGGAGATTTCCTTTTTTTAAGTAGCTATTCCTTCATTCCTTATTCTCCAAACAAATCAGCTTTATTGAGCACCTTTGCGCAAATTAACAAGGAATAAGACCCTTTTCCACTTTGATCTATAGATATTTCAGATGAAAATGAATACATTTCTTTGGAAATTAATATAGTTTTCTCCTTACATTGCATACAAATTAGAGTATAACATTTACAGTAACACAGCATTAAGTGCAACGCTGCATTAATTACATATATAAATATAGAGCCCCATACAGCCCATGTAAAGAAAAGTAGTGTAAAATAACCACTGTGTACATTTTGCTCTTTTTTATACGGCTTTATTTGTTCGTATTTATAATAATGAAGGACAAAATTTTATATTAAAAACATTAATCAGTACAAGTCAGTATTCATACTTTTTTGTTTTATTTGAAAAAAAAATTATATTAATTAAAAAAACTAGGCCATGATTAAATTCCTTTTGCTTCTCTGGATTATTACCTCCACTATGCTCTGTTGTTTATAAACCATTTCCAAAGTTACTTCTGACGGGATTCATATCAAAATGTGAGAACTACAACTTAGAAATTTTGTAAATTAACATCAAGATAAAAATGGTAGATAAGCCCTCACATCCAGTTGCACAGACAGAAATAGAGCAATATGTGATGACTGATTGCAGAACATCAAGGAGTCCCTGAAATCCTGAAAGCGTCTTCCTTCACTCTTTGAGCAGAGTTATAAAACATCATCACTTGATAAGCTCTGCGGAGTGGGAAAAAAAGGCTCACATCTAAAACTGTGAGTTTGAGAGATAAAGCTGGCATACATTTTTATTTAATTATTAATTTCAGCAAAAATAGTAAGGCTACTTTTGTGGTCATTAAAACAAGACACTTTATATACACATATATGTATGTATGATTTTTTTATAATTTGATCATGTTGGTCATAAAGTAAAAAAAAAGAAATCAACACAAAATTAGAAAGAAACCAACCTTAAATCTACTTACAGATTCAATGTATTTCAGTTAAATCTGGCTCCGTTTCAATGTGATTAAATGCAGTAAGATTGTAACATTGGTTTAAGTTGTGGTTTGGGAAAAAAAAAAAAAAAGGATAGTAAGAATCCTGTATTAACTACATTCATATCTGCCAGTCTGAGCACAAATTAAAAAGCAGGGAAGAAAGCAGTCTATGTTTTGTATATGAAGTCCTAAAAAAAAAAAAACATGAAAAAACAAAGAATAGATAACCTTCTACCTGAAACTTCCGAGGCTCAAATTACTGTAATCTTGTCATCAAGCTCAATCACAAACAAGCGGAAAAATATTTTAGTAAATAAACAATTTTTTTTTTTTTTTAATGCAACATGGGAAGCAACCATGTGTACACACATAAGCAATAAGCACTATATGTCATAAAAAAAGAAAGTTAAATTCTAAATTGGAAACTCACCATGAGCATCACGATAGTAGGCATGAGTTACACTGCGAAAGCGCTCCTGTCCAGCTGTGTCCCAGATCTGGAGATAATATAAAAATTATCACTGAGTAGGAATAATTAAAAGGAACTTACTTTTGATAATAGTTAATCTATAAAAATAATAATACAGTGCTCTTTTACTTTTTTTTTTTTTTTTTCCCATTTTGCCAATATGGCTCTGGGAATTGATGTCCCAGAGCTAGATGTTCACAAGTAGACCATTATGACTGTTGCTATAAAGTTTCTCTTGGTACTTCTGTATGAAATTTTATTGAACATTATTTAGGGAGTAAAATCTTATGCAATGGAAAGAGAGGTGAAAAAGAAAAAAAAAGAACTAAGGGGAGAGAGAGATAGAGACCAGAAAGAGTGCATGAAAATAGAGAAAATAAAACAAAACAGCAAAAATAGACAACACAGAAGATACACATTAACTCCTAGACTCCTGCATGAGATGAGAGGAACAGAAAACAGGCAACATAACAACAAGAAAAAGAAGACAACAGACAACCAAAATAAACATCAAAAAAAGCTTTAAGAGCTGCGTGTTTCCCTTAGATATCCATGTGTGTCGAAGGCAATGAAATGGTTTTACTTTGATCTTGTGTGAGCCTGAACCCTCAGTTTGCTGTTTGACTGAAAAGTAAGTGTGCAATTTACTGGCTGGGAGGAGTTAAACTTGTAGTTATCATGATTTGAAAACATAAACATAAATTCTGTTAATTTAGACGGTATAATACTGTAAATATGTCAAAAAAAGTGCAGACGAAATGGCTCATCTCTTGATAATTCTAAACAGTGTGTCAGTGGGTGCTTTAGGACCCTCCCAAATTATTTAAAGCTAATTTGGAAGCATTTTTTTGTCATGGTTCTTATGCTCTTCTCGTAGCTCCTGAGAAATACAGTAATCGCTCATTTGATTCTTCTCCTCCATATTGCTTTACAGACTGTTTTCAAAAACCAGCAGAATAACTTTTTAGCTGAGGGTCTTTTTAAACAAAAACAGCTAACCAGCAAAGCAATATCTAAAGTTGAGCGTAGCTGCAATGGAACTTTTTTTGGATATGTTTATTACAAGAGTCACTCATAATAAATGCTATATAAGATTAAAATTAATGATTTAGTTAAATTAGTATTTTTATTTCTATTAAGGCCTAGTTTGATTAAAGTGCAAAAGAAAATAACTGGATTGAATATGTTTCTAAAACAGATAAAGAAAATTTCCATTTTCTGGACCATTAAAGAACACTGTTATACCTTATTGTATCACTTGTAGGTGATATATTCAATTTATTTGATCAAAGTTATGTGATCTAGTGACCCATACTAAGTGGATTAAAGTACAATATAAATCATTATTAAATAACTTTTTTTTTTTTTTTACCATTGTTGCTTAAAGCAGTGAAAGCTTCTAATTTATTTGAGCCAAACCATGTACTGTAGGCCTGCCTTAATTGACAATTTTGGATAAAATATCATAGCATTTTTTTTCCTCTAGCAAGCGCGCTTCTGTTTTGATCTACAAATGCTTTCATCTGCAGAACTTATCATCATCTAAGCTTTCTTTTTGATGGTAAATTAAAAACCTTACCTGCAATTTCACCTTGACTCCATCAATGGTCATCACTTTATTCTAGGAATTAAAGCAAAAAAACAAAAGACATTTAAATGTTTCCAAACAAGTGACATATTTCTGTTTCTTCTTGTATCTTGCTAAAGGTCTCATCCTGTCATGCTTTCATTCACCAACATGTACGCACTGCACTTTCCATCAATACTGCATGTCTCTCCACCTCACTTGGACCCCTGTAGATGAAGCATGGCCTATTTTAATTCCTCTGGGGAATTTGCCCCCTCTTTTTTCACCTCTGTCTTTCTCACAGTCAGTGGTTTCTTCTTCTGCTTTAGAAGTATTTGTAACCCCTAAACTGTTTCAAATTGTTTTATCTTTGCAACTGCAAAATTAATTCTAATTTACTGGTCTTTTAAGCAACACTGTGTAACCTTTTACAGAAGTATTAACGAAATTTGAGATGCATTAAATGATTTTCCGGTAGCACTTGGTGCATATGGATGCGGGCTGTGGTTCTCAAAAACTTGCCTATGTGAATTGAAAGGGCGGGATCCATCGTAGAATAATTCATGTGACCCAGAGAACGTCCTTACAGCATTCTGAGCTCCCCTTAAGCAAGCTAACACATCTAAAGGTTGTTGGGAAATTCAACCTGTAGAGACTCACACAGAGAAAAGGTGCAATTGCAAAAGTTTTGTTCAATATAATTGATTTGCAAGTAACACACTCAGGTTGGTTAAGATTGACTATCTAAGGAAAACCAGTTGAATGCATGAACTCATTGACCCTCTGCAATCACTCACACAGAGTATGCATGTAGCGACAGTGGAGAGGAAAACTCCCCTTTAACAGGAAGAAACCTTCAGCAGAACCAGGTGCAGTGTAAGCGGCCAGCTGCCGAGGTCGACTAGAGTTCTAGAAGATAGAAACAGATTTATAGATGTTGACATAATGAAATCAGATCTTTGGCCAGCAGAAGACTGATGCTGAAAATCAACATTTGCTCAGATGGGTACTCTAGGAAGAAGATTAGAATAGTCTTCCCCCCGGGGCCCGAACAATGGCGGTGAAATAAGTTGGAGGATGAGAGGGTCTAAGAGTGGGTTACGAGAGAGGAAGAATATGGGGTGGAGGTGGGTCAAAGTTCGGCTGAAGCACTGAATGGGGAAGCAGGGCCTTCGTCTTGATGAAGACCATCTTTAGAAATAATTGGCTTTGGAGAGGATGTGGTCCATCATGGATTGGCTGAAGGCTGAGCGAGGGATGTCAGGAGGTGTTCCAGGTAAGGCTGATTAAGAGTCTTCCAGGTTGAATTTTCACTTAAGCTCTATTAAACCATATATAACACTTACCGGATCAGCCATATTTTTGGTTCTCTTGTTTAGGATTTAATCTAGAGGGGTAAATGTGGTCTTTTCTTTACAAGCATCTCAATGACCTCTCAGTCTGCTGGTCCAAACTGGTCTTCTATTAGATTCCAAGACATAAAGGTAGACTGTTTAATTTTATAACAGTTTAATGTTGCCAGTTACTTTCAGGGAAGCTAAACTTTTTGATTACAGGATTAAGGCCCTTTGTGGCTAAAAGTTACACACTGTTGCTTTAATGTGAAAGAGAGAGGTAATGTAATGCATCGTAGAGTGGGATAATGATACTTGTGTTTTGCAAAATGTATATTAAACTGTGAATTGGAATTTCTTTTTAAAAAATCATATGGCTCAGATTTACTTCAGAATAGAAAAAAATAGCTTAGTATTTTTTCGAAATTTACAGAACCAAAAGGTTCTAATGCTAACATCTTGGAATCAAATACCACATAATACCAACAGCAGTCTATTGAAGTAAAAAAGAAAACACATTTTTTACTGACAGTTTGTGTCTTTCTTTGAATATTACACCGCTTAAGCAGTGAAACCATGGTGCACTTCACATCTAAGCAAACAAGAACAAAGAAGAAGTTTACAGCATGGTGGATGTTGTCAGAAAATTTTGATTTCTCCTCTATTATATATTAATTTATGCTATTTACTCACCATAGAACTTTTCACTCAGTCTGTTTCACCTTCAAGGACACACCATTCTCTGCGGGATGGTGTTTGTAGACCAGACAAAGCAATTTTTAAAATCTGGAAATTACTGTGGCCTTAGTTTTTGCTCAGTCATTTAGGATGTTTGAAAGTCAGGTCCAAAATTAAACACAATGAGCACACAAAAACAATTTTTCTAAGTTTTATGATTACTTCATCCTTTATATTTAACATTATTTTTCTCATTAGTAAGGGTTTTGCAATATAAAATGTGAATCCTAGAGGTGAATAAAACATTTGACGCAATAATGTTTTATTTACCTCTTGGATTTGCATTTTCAATTTGTTTGAAAACATTCCAATTGCTCTAAACCAGCCAAAAGCTGATCTGACTGGAGTCCAAGGAGATCAGAGTTGCTTTGAGAAGCTACAGGGAGAAGCAAATAAGCTGCTTGTCAGCAGATGGTCCCATAATTGGCTTGGAATGGTCCCCCTTTACCCTGAACAGAATCTTTGATTGACAGACAACAATAATAACCTCTACTTCCACCTCTAAACTCCCACCAAACCATGTTGTGCACATCACACTTTGACACAACAGTTCTCAAACCTACAGCTTGGACTTAGACCTCTGCCAAACCACCCCCCATGTTTGCTTACATCCTTCAGTCACTCTCTGAATGTTATGTTCCACCCCTGCTTTAATTGCTCCAACATCAAACTGATCCCAAAGAAACACCACATCAAGTGACTGCATGACTACAGGGTGGTTGCCCTGTCATATGTGGTCATGACATCTTTTCAGCAACTGGTGTTGAAGCATTTAAAGTTTACCATATCCCCCTTGCTAGATCCACTGCACCCTGCTTACTGGGCAAATAGGTCAGTAGATGACGCAGTCAAGACAATCACTATCCAGAGACGTACTCCAGGATACTTAGATCTACCTTCAACACCATGAACCCAGATATTCTCCCAGTGTCAGTTGCCACATATCAGTACATTATTAAGGTACAGGCAGCACCTTCTTGATCATGGCACCTTCTTTCCCACAACTATTTGCCCTGCTGCCAAGCTGCTACTCATCTTTATTTATCTCTCCAATGTTTCTCCATCACTGTAAGGATTAGTTCATTCAAAAATCAGGACATGTTCAGACCATAGCCACTTACCACCTATTCAAAAAAGATAAGTGATGGTCCTAATAGCTGGCCTGATACTTGGGCAGTGGGTTTTTGTTGTGTACAGTAAGAAAATAAATCATAAAAGAATGTAGCTGCAGATGAACAGACCAAGAGAAATTGTAAATGGTAAACTGCAGCGTTCCAGAAACTGAACCTTTAGGGACATCATGATTGAGGTAATGCAGATGCAGAAATTGCAATTTCAGGTCCATATTTATAATTTACATTTTGCATGAGAGTAAAACCTTTACTTCTTTATATTGCATTGATTTTTTACACACACATGCACACACATATCTCTTAAAGATTAGGAGTCAATATTATTCCATCTAATATACAAAAAAAAAACAAAAAAAAAACGATGTAAACTGATACCATCTTAAAATTAAGAAGTTTCCCAATAAAGTAATTTTCATTGTTCTTGGATATTTCTGAAAAGTTTTGCTACAGACTTTTTATTCTCTAATACCCAAGAAGAGACCAAAGGTGTTAACTCCAGACAAAATTTAGACTTGGATAGTCTTTGTCAACGTGTGGGGCTGATTTACTTCTTCCAGATTTGCAACGAGGAAAAAGGGCATACATATTAATGGGAGAATTTGAGCTCCGAGCTAGACTGTAAGTGGAGTCTGTGAGGAATCTCACAAGACAAGCTCCTTGTTGTTGTTGCTAAAAACAACCCAAAATGTGCTTAGAGGCTTCATGAATATTTAGTGACCCAGAAAAGAGTGTGATGATCACATCACACTCGGGATTTTGGGGGGGATTAGTTCAGCATGATTGCTTTAATAATAATGCTGAATTTGTCAAGAGTAAAATCTTCAGCTTAGACCTGCTGATCCCAGGAAAGGACTGAAAGGATAATATAAAACTTCTGATGATGTTGTGCAACTCCCACTTCAAATGATGCATCATTGATTCTCCATTTACATGATTCTTGGCTAGCAGTTTTTAATTGTACATAGAAAGCACAAATTTTAGGCAATGGTAATTTCCTGAATTGCTGACAAGACCTTCTAAGATAAGGCACCTTCAAATACAAACTCCTCCACTTAGCAGCAGCACGCATGATGTTAGTACTTAAATGTTTCTTGTTTTCCAGTACATGTACAAGACTGAGAACATATCCTCAGAATAGATTCACTCAAACACCACTCTGCATGGATCATAAATTACAGATGCTGGAGGAGCTTTCAGAAGAACCCGTCGAAGTGTGAGCCTTTAAAACTTTAATGGCTGCAGCATCAAGCAACTAACAGAAATATGGCATTCACAGACAAATTCTATATGAGACAAATTATCAGTGTTGATAAAAATCCTAAGGAAAAGGCCGTGCAAGTCTGTTCCTTGAGGTCTTTGCTTCGGCGTAGAGAGCTTACTCGTGCATGACACTACCTGCACTCAACACAAGTTATAAATCAACTCACCAGGGCAATAAACTGAAGAACAGACGGGGAATGGAAACACCCTGAGACACAATTGTAAACCTAGTCCTCAGCTGTCATGTCAGACACACACTGACATACTGTGTAAACACACTGCACTAAAACATTTAGTCATATCACCACCAGCCTGTCTGAGCCACGGGTGTACATTTTACCAGAACGTCTAAAAAGTACTGATCCAAGTTAAAATATTCTTTCACCTTCATGAAAGAGTAGTTTCATAAAGATAATGTTTTGACAGAGTAAGATTACTTGACAATTCAGTGCAAAAGTATTCAAACCTTGTAAACATACACTCACCGTCCACTTTATTAGGTACACCTGTCCAACTGCTCCTTAACACTTAATTTCTAAGCAGCCAATCACATGGCGGCAACTCAGTGCATTTAGGCATGTAGACATGG